GGAGAAATCAACAAAGAAGTTGGACGAACGTCAATGAATGTTGATGGAGAAATCAAACGGTCGTATAACCGAACGGTCGTCAACAATGAACATGAACGAACGTTAATCAAAAAAGAAGCTGGACAAACGTCAATGGATATTGATGGAGAAATCGAACGGTCATATAATCGAACGATCGTCAACAACGAAACTGAACGAATGTCACACAAGTGTGAACGAGCATTGCACAAGGGTCAAGAATTTGAACATGTGTTGATGTCTATCAATACGAAGCATGCAAAAAATGACAACTATTGGTACTTAGATACGGGTTGTTCTAATCTCATGACAAGAAAGAAGGAGTGGCTAATAGATCTGGATTCTAGTGTTAAAAGTATAGTAGGGTTTGTTGATAACAGTGTAATAATGGCCGAAGGTGCCGGAAGGATTATGATCAGAAGCAAGAACAGACAACCCGCGTACATGAACAACGTGCTATACGTACCAAACATGAAGAGAAATATGCTCAGTCTTGGGCAGTTACTTGGAAAAGGATACACTATGAACATCCATCAAAAGCATATAGAAATATTTGATGATAGAAAATGTCTTGTGCTCAAAGCTCCATTAGCTAAGAACAGAACTTTTAAGGTGAAGCTTAGTGCTACTATTATTCAGTGTTTATCATCTATCAATACCGAGGAAGAAGAATGGTTGTGGCATTACCGTTATGGACATCTAAATTTCAGAAGCCTGAGACAGTTGAAGGATAAAGACATGGTGATAGGAGTTCCTGAGATTCATGCACCAAAGAAGGTGTGTGAAGGTTGTGTAATTGGAAAGCAAACCAGGAAACAGTTCAAGAGAACATCACACAAGAGGGCAAAAGCAATCTCTTGAAGTTCTTTACTCAGACGTGTGTGGACCCTTCGAGCAAGAATCAATTGGAGGTAATAAGTATTTCCTTATTTTTGTTGATGAATGGACTAGAAAAATTTGGATATCTAATCAAGGAAAAGAAAAATATTTGCTCATGCTTTGTCAAATTTTGTGTCATGGTGGAGAGACAATCCAGACTTCATATTAAACTGCTCAGAACTGATGGTGGAGGAGAGTTCAATTCTCATGAAATGAACAAGTACTGAAGTGACAGAGGTATAATACATGAAGTAGTAGCTCCCTACACTCCACAACACAACGGGCTGGCTGAACGGAGAAATAGAGTGTTGCTCGACATGACTCGGTGTATGTTAAAATGCACAAAATTACTAGACTGCTTATGGGGAGAAGTTGTCTCCACAGCAACGTATCTTTTGAACAGAAGCCCAATAAAAGCTTTGGAGAATTGCACACCAAAGGAGGCCTGGTCAGGTATTAAACCAACTATTAAACATCTTAAAATTTTTGGCTCAGTATGTTACAGGCACATCACAGACGTGAAGAGGAAGAAATTAAATGATAGAAGCGAGACATTTATCTTCATAGGATATCATTCTACGGGTGCATACAGGTTATATAGTATGGAGAATAGACAAATTGTGATAAGTAGATATGTTATCGGGGATGAGAGAGCCACATTTGATTGGAAGAAAGCTGAAGTAAATCAGAAATGTGAGATTTGAATGCATGAGAAGTCTGTTACTATTTCAAGCTGGCT